CTCTGACATTCTGTGTTCTAAGAGTCCTCTCAGCTCTGACATCCTGTGTTCTAAGGGCCCTCCCAGCTCTGACATTCTGTGTTCTAAGGGTCCTCCTAGCTCTGACATTCTGTGTTCTAAGGACCCTCCCAGCTCTGACATTTTCTGTTCTAAGGGCCCTCCCAGCTCTGATATTCTCTGTTCTGAAGGCCATCCCAGCTCTGACATCCTGTGTTCTAAGGGCCCTCCCAGCTCTGACATTCTCTGTTCTAAGGGCCCTCCCAGCTCTGACATCCTGGGTTCTAAGGGCCCTCCCAGCTCTCACATTCTGTGTACTAAGGGCCCTCCCGGCTCTGACATTCTGTGTTCTAAGGGCCCTCCTAGCTCTGCCATTCTGTGTTCTAAGGGTCCTCGTAGCTCTGACATTCTGTGTTCTAAGGGCCCTGTCAGCTCTGACATTTTCTGTTCTAAGGGCCCTCCCAGCTCTGATATTCTCTGTTCTGAAGGTCATCCCAGCTCTGACATCCTGTGTTCTAAGGGCCCTCCCAGCTCTGACATTCCATGTTCTAAGGTTCCTCCCAACTCCGACATTCTGTGTCCTAACATTCTCTGGTCCATGATCCCTTCTGGCTTGAACATTCTGAGTCTATGACACCCAAAGTTGCTTCATCAGGTGACCATTCCACATTTTCATTCCACAATCAATGATAAGGCTCAGAATATTCCAGAGGCATGGAACATAGGGAATTAAATGTACACCAAGCCATACACGACTGAGGTGCGACCCTACCCTGGAATTTGGAAAGGGGGAGAGAAGAAAGCATGGGGTCTCAGTCCCAGGGGAAGGGAAGAAAAGGGGTACCAAGAAGGGGATGCAGAAGACGGGCTTGGCTGCTCCGAGATGTCACTGAGGGCTGAGCCTGGCTCCAGGCCCTTCCTGGGCTAATTCATACTCATTGTTTTCTCCATTTAATTATTGCCCAGTGCATCACAGAATGTGACCCACCATTCAAAACCTGCTTCCTACTAAACACAATGCCTCCCATCCGTGAGCTGTCACAGACTTCATCTGCATTTCCAGCAGGCTCAGCAATTCCTTTGCTTCTGTCTCTTGGCCCTCTACCACAGCTGGGCCTCAAACAATAGGTGGAAGGATTTCATACTTATTTTCATTCATTATCTTAGTTTCTTCCCCCCCACCACCACCCCTGCCTGCTCCTTCTCCTGTCTTGAGGTGTCTGCCCAAAGGTGCCAGGGGAGACCATGAAACCCACATCGATCTTTGTTCAGGTGACAGAAGTTTGTGGTTTTGTTCGGTCGTTTTAGTCACGTCTGACTCTTCATGACCCCGCTTGGGGTTTTGTTGGCAAAGATACTGGAGTGGTTTGCCATTTCCTTCTCCAGCTCATTTTTTAGATGAGGAAACTGAGGTAAACAGGGTGAAGTGACTTGCCCAGAGTCACATAGCTAGATGATGTCTAAGGCTGGATTTGAACTCAGGTCTTCCTGACTCTAGGCCCGGTGCTTTCTTCTTTACACCACCTAATCGCTTAGGAAGACAGGAGGTTAGGGCTGTTTTCTTTCTAACCTGGATGACAAGAATGTAACCCAAGGCCCACCAAGGGGTCTGTGAAGAGATTTTTTTAACATTCAATTTTATTTTATTTTCAGCTCCAAATTTTCTCCTGTCTCCAGCTCACAACCCCTCTGCCCCTATTCATTCCATGAGATTCTTGAGCCTTTCCTCCCATAGAAGCATAACCCAGGCTGTTTTGCTCACCTCCCGGCAGCCCTGGGAATGAAGCTGAGCAGGTATAATTAGGATCATAGATTTGTGGGAGCTTGAAGGAATCTTTGAGGTCATCTAGTCCGGAGGTGTCAAATGGGGCCCACCATGGCCAGAACCAGATTAAAATGTAATTCGGAGGGACTTAACAAAATTTTAAAAATGCAGTAGAACATAGATGATGTTAACAAATGGTTTTCTAAGTCAACACGCAGCCAGCAGGGATCCCTGTGTACCATTTAGTGACCCTCCATTTATTTTTGAGTTTGACACCACTTATTTAGTCTGACCCCCTCATTTTTAAAAAATTAATTTATTCTGAATTATCAACAATCACTTCCATAAGCTTTCGAGTTTTAAATTTTTCTCCACCTCACTCCCCAAGATGGCACACAATCTGATATATGACCCCCTCATTTTACAGATGGAGAAACTGAGGTTGGGAGAGAACAACTTACTTGCCCAAAGGAGCTTGTGGAAAATGGAGATTTGAACTCAGGTCCTGTGTGACCCTGGGTGAGTCAGGGTTAGCTTCCCTGTCTGTAAAATGAGGGGGTTGAACTCAGTGCTTTCTAAGGTCTTTCTAGCCCTCAGTCTACAATAGATCCTAAGAGCCTCTGAGGTGGTGTGGTTCAGTGGGACAGGTGCTGAAGTAGGAGGCAAAGAACCTGGTTCTGAATCCTGCTTCTGCGACTCTGGGCCTCTCATCAGTAAGATGGAGAAGACTGGACTTGATGACCCCAAAAGTCCCTTCTGGCTCTAAGTTAGTGATTTGCGTGTCCTTCCCAAGTCACCATGCTGCCGCGCATGGCAGATGGGAGGAGAAGTGACGTGGCCCCAGTCACAGCATCCAGTAAGTGGCAGAGATGAAACCTGAGCCCCGGTCTCCCGACTCCAGTCCAGCACGCTTTCTGATACACCAGAAAACAAAAAGCAAAACAAACAAACCAAACCCTGTTTGCCTCAGTTTCCCCATCTGTAAAGTGAGGATGTTGGTAGCACCAGTACCTCTCAGAGTTGTTGGGAGAATCACATGAGATAATATTTGTAAAATGCTTAAAGTGCTATATAAAGGCTAGCTATTATTATTATTAAAAGAAGAATACAGTCAGCTCTCTGTTCACACTAAAGGAGGGGGTCCCTTCATAGCATAGCATTTCAGACGTACTTTCACCTGGCTGAGAGGACACTATTGGTGATCCTCAAACCAGGCCGCCCTGTAGACAGACACTTTCTTTGCCGATATATTCAGCCTTCCTGATTGGACACCATGTCCGTGGAAGGCACAGATCAAATCAAGGGCTAGGCAGAGTAAAATTCTATTCCAGCAGAACTAAGACCCCAAGATGGACCTTCTTCCTTGTGGCCACCATTGGATTTAGACCTGGGAGGAATATTAGCAGTCATCTAGATTAGCAGTCTTCTAGGAACATTAGCAATCATGGACTCCAAGGGGTTGGTGGATAGATTTCAAGGGGTTCGTAAACTTAGATGGAAAAAAATTACATCTTTATTTTCACTAATCCTATGTATTTTATTTTATGCATTGAAAAATATTCTTCTGAGAAAGGGTCTGTAGGCTCCACCAGACAGCCAGAAGGGTCCAGGTCACAAAAAGGTGAAAAGCCCCTGGTCTAATCCAGCTTTCTCATTTTACATATGAAGAAACAAGCCTAGAAATGTGAGGGGACCAGGTCAAGGTCACACAGTAGAGCCAGGCTTGAGACCCACTGGATTCCAAACCCAGTGTTACTTTTATTAGACTGTGGAGCTGTATTTGTGGGAGGGAAGAGAGGCTTCCTAGCCGCTTCCTCTTTGGGGTGACTCCTTGACTATTTCACATATATATCAAGAACTGAAGGGTACAGACATGAAATACCGGAATAGGGTGCGCAGCCGAATCAGTAACCTCAAGGACCCCAGGAACCCCAACTTGAGGCGGAACGTGCTTTGCGGGGCCATTTCCACCAGCCTCATTGCCAAGATGACGGCTGAGGTGAGGAGCTGCATGGCGGTGCCATTTCTGAAGCTGCAATCTTGGCTCCTGGGGAGGTGTTAGGCGGGTTCCCTGTGGGAGGCAGACACACTGAGCAGGCGCCCAGCAGAACTGGGCAGAGGGAAGGCTGTCTGGGTGTTACAATGTTAAGCCTGGCAGCTCTGACTTTTCTCAGCCCGAGGTTCCCCCTCAGAGATGCTGATGCTAAATTATTATTTAAAAACCTCGTTTGACCACAAGAATTATACTCCTCAAAAAGCTGGGTCTGCCTACATTTTCCACTTTGTCTCAGCCAAAGGATGAGAAACTGGGGTCAACTACTTAAAATGATAACCTTATGACTCCTCAAACTATTGGGTTCAAAGGGTACTGATGTCTGTCTATGTAAGTGAAGCCCAGGAGACACATACCCCGTGACTGCATTGGCCCCAGCAGCCAGGGCCAGGGTGAATGAATGACATGACACAGGCCACTTGTCTGGAGTCACTTGCTTATAATTATGGCCTTGCGGAAGCTATTGAAGGAAGTATATAAAAGTTTGTTGTTATTCAGTCGGGTTTGACTCTTCCTGACCCCATTTAGGGTTTTCTTGGCAGTGATACTGGAGTGGTTTGCTTTTTCCTTCTCCAGCTTATTTTACAGATGAGGAAACTGAGGCAAACCAGGGTTAAGTGACTTGCCTAGGGTCATACAGGTAGTAAATGTCTGAGCTCAAATTTGAACTCACAAAAAGGAGTATTCCTGATTCCAAGCCCAGCACTCCATGCACTGTGGCGCCACCTAGCTGCCCCAATATATTACTAGAATTTCCAGTATGGTATATTACTAGAATATCAGTATAGTACCAGAATTTAACGGATGCTGGTGACCATCTAGGCTGAATAGAACATCATATGCTCCTAATGGTGCCGGTCCCATTCATTCCTCATCTCCTGCGAGAGCTTGTGAGACTCCCTATGGTTTCCTTCTATGAAATTCACCAGCGGGCCCTTCGTGCTGCCTGTGTGTGACCTGGGAAGGTAGAGATCTCTGTAGAGAGAGCCTACTTGTCTCTATCTGCATGTGGATTGCAGAAATAAGATGGGACCTGGACTGGGGAGGTCACTCAGAGAATTTGTCTGCAGCGGGGGCGCAGCTGGTCTGAGACTCCCAACGGGGGCACCATCGCAGGTAGATGTCCTGGCCAGAAGTCGCATGGCTCCTAAGTGGCAGAACCAGGTTTCTATGGGAGCCTTCGGACATTTTTGTCTGTAACTGAAGCCCCATCTCGGGGAGCTGCCTTATTCCTGGCCCGAGCCATTCACTGATGGTGCCCCTCCAAGGAACATGAGGTGTAGGAAATACCATCCCTTCTTCAGACTCTGGGAATGTTGGTTGGTTCATTTAGGAAATGGCGAGTGATGAGCTGAAGGAGCTGAGGAATGCCATGACTCTGGAGGCCATTCGGGAGCACCAGATGGCTAAGACCGGGGGCACCACAACTGACCTCTTCCAGTGCAATAAGTGTAAAAAGAAGAATTGTACCTACAACCAGGTGCGCACTAGGGTACAGGGGGACTCCATGGAGCAGCTCAGGAGGGAATCCATCATGGGAGACCAAGAAGGGGAGGCCGTGTAGACACCAGAGAGAATGAATGGATGGGGCTCTGGGATGATAGAGCATCTAGAAGAGGACAGGATGATTTAGTAATATTCTTTAGGTGTCAATGGCATGACAATAAAGAAAGGAGAGATTTTCATGGGGCTTCTGGAATTTGGTCTCATTACTTAATAGTAATGGCAAGGCCTCTACATATTGAGCAGATAGTATTTATTTTCCTGCAGGATTGGACAAGGACAGGTAGAAAATAAGACATGGAGACCAATTATAGTCATAGAGTATCAGAGCTAGGAGAATACTTATAACATAGAACTTCATCACTGGAAGATATCTTAGAACACAGAATGTCAGAGCTGGGAGGAACTTTAGAACATGGAATGTTAGATCTGGGAGGGCCCTTAGAACACAAGATACCAGAGCTGGGAGAGGCTTTTAGCATGTAAGAGGTGGATCAGAGGGCCCTGATGGGAAAAGCTTCTTGGAAGAAGTTGTCTTGAGCTTACGTCATTGATCACAATTCTGTAGCATTTTGCATTTTGTTAACTTTCTTCACAAAAACCTTGTGAAGTAAATAGTGCAAGTATTATTATCCCCATTTTACAGACGAGGAAACTGAGCCTCATAGAGGTTAAGTGATTTGCCTAAGGCCACACAGTAAGTAAGTTGCAGAGCCAAGACTCGAACCCAGATCTTCAAGTCCAGTGAAGGATGTAAAACCCAGAATTGGTGGAAAGGAAGGGAGAAATCATTCCAGGTGAGGGCAAAAGCATCAGTAAAGGTCCTGAGGTCAGAAAAAAAAAAAACCAACATTATATCTTTCGATTTAACTCAGCAAACACTTAATAAATTCCTACCATACTTAAGGCACAGGACTGTGAGGGTGGGTGGTCAAGGGACTGGGGGGGCGTGGTGGGAAGTTCAAGTGATGAGGCTGGGTGGGAAAAGTCTGCGTAGGGGAGGGAGGTGCCTTGAACGCCAGGGTGAGGCGTTTGGCCTTGTTCCAACAGGAAGCAGGAACCATGGTAGATTCTACAGCAGGGGAGTGACTGCATGATTCTGCTTTCTCAGGTGCAGACTCGAAGTGCTGATGAACCCATGACCACTTTCGTCTTATGCAATGAGTGTGGCAACCGCTGGAAGGTCAGTATTTCTTCTGCTTCTGTAGCCCTCCGAAGTAGCCGATGGCCTCGCTCAGGGCCTTTCCCAGCCCGGGTGTGGGAACCATGCGCACTGGGCCCGATTCACTTCTTATGGGGTCCTAGGATTTGGAGTCAAAAGGGGCCTCAGAGATGCTCTGACCCCTTCCCCCTTCCAGATGAGGACCTCGACCCCCAGAGCGTCTGTCCGAGGGACTGCTCAGAGGCGCACAGACAGTAAGCAGCAGAGCTAGGATCCAGACCCCTGGTCCCCTGACCCCCGATCTGGGGCTTTCTCCACTTTTCCCTTCTGTCTCTTTCTTTTTCTCTAATGGTCAAGAGCACAGAGTACTTTAGATTCCCTGACTCCTCTAAGCCTGCCTCGCACTGACCCCATGAGGGAGGGTCTAAAGGAATCCCGATCCCCCTGCTTATCTTGACCACCCCGCCAAGACCTTCATCTGCCTGATTCCACGGGGCTCTGCTGTTACCTTTCACCAACAAGAGTTTCTTCCCTTCTCAAATGGCCACATGGAGAGGGTACTGGCAGGGAGGGTGCCTTTCTTTTCTCAGAACCTTTTCCCTTAGAAGACTCCCTTGTGAGACCCCTGGGGCTCAGGGTAGAGGTAGCTCCAACCTTGTTACCATATGCTAGGTGAGTCACCTTTCCAGTTGCTTCAGATGGGTAGTGTCCCATTTTACAGGTGAGAAAACTGAGGCTCCAATTCCATCTTGTCCAGACCAGTATCACATTGGAAGGAAGGAAGGGAGGAAAAAGAAGGGATGAAGGAAGGGAGGGAGGGACGGAAGAAGGAAGGAAGGATTACTGAGTACCTACCTACTATGCACTAGATATTGTGCCAAGCACTTTATAAAAATTTCATTTGATCCTCGCAACAATCCTGGGAAGAAGGTGTAATTATTATCCCCATTTTACAGTTGAGGATACCAAGGCAGGCAGAGTTCAAGTGACTTGCCCAGGGTTATGCAGCTAGTACGTGTCTGAGGCCGGATCCGAACTTGGGACTGTAAGGACAGAACATTTTGACTGGTGTCTGGAGAACATCACAAACCCTGTCGGCCTTTTTTGTTTTATTTTGTTTTGTTTTCAGTTCTGCTGAGTGGTTGCCGGCCGGGCCTGTGGTAGATACATCAAAGAAACCTGAAGAAGAAACCACATGGCCCACCTACCTGGAGCATGGAGAGCAATGCTCAGATGCGAAAGGGAGTTTGGGTGCTGCCAGCTGACCCTCCTCAGAAGACGTAGCCAGCTTTGACCTCTGGCCTCAGAGCTTTCCCTAGTGGGAGAGAGGGGGCACTTTTACAGGGAAAGTCCAAATCGGATGAGCTCTGACCTGTGGTTGTGCCTCCCCAAATCCTGCAGTAAAGTGGAAATATGAGCTTACTTGAGGATTCACATAGAATGCCAAAACTGCCAGAGGAATTAGAATCTAGACTGTCAGAAATCGAGGCATTTTAGGACATAGACTATGCAAGCTGTGAGGGATTTTTGAGACCATCTGGTCCACCCTCCTCATTTTATAGAGGGGAAACTGAGGCCCAGAGAGGAGAAATCACTTGCCCTAGGTGGCAGAGAAAGCTAGTGTCAGAAAGAGAACTAGACACTGGCACCCCACATCAGGGCTCTTCCCCCTGCCCCATCCTTCTCCTTGGGATCGATTGTGCGAACACAAGGACATCGAGTCCTTCCTCAGTGATTAGTTCTCAAGTTTTTCTCCACGAAAAATATGAGGCTGACAAAAGCGACATCCCTGTCTGTCCCATCACTTCCTTCATCTAGCAACCAGTATGTCATTTGGTCTAAAATTAGGTCTGATATAGTACAATAGAAACAACACAATCTTTGCATTCAGGGATTGTGGTGATGAGTAGTTTTCAGTCCTATCCGACTCTTCTTTGACCTCATTTGGGATTTCTTGGCACAGGTACTGGAGCGATTTGCCATTTCCTTCTCCAGCTCATTTTACAGATGGGGAAACTGAGGCACCCAGGGTAAAATGCCTTGCCCAGGGTCACACAGCTAAAGTGTCTGAGGTCAGGTTTGAACTCAGGTCCTCCAGACTCCAGGCCCAGCACTCTACCCACTGCACCATCTCAAATCTCATCTCTGCTGCTGGGTGACCTTGGGTCAAGTCCCTTTACCTCTGGGCGCCTCAGTATCATCCACTGGAAAATGGAAGGACTGGATTAATTAGCTTCTGACATTCCTTCCAGATCGAGGTCCGTGATCCCACGAGGTTCCATTTATATATCACATTAGCGTGACAAAATCCTCTCACTTGTGTCTTCCTATTTGACCCCCATAGCAATTCAGTGAGATAGGTAGTGTGAGTACTATAGCCATTTTACAGATGAGAAAACTGAGGTTTAGAGAAATAATGGACTTATGGGTCCTAGATGCAAAGTCATGACTCCTGACTCTTAGACTCATTTATGAGACTCTGTTATACTCTACCAGTCTAGGCCTGTGTGACAACCAGATATCCTTCTCCCTAAATTATAAAGGGTCTTCCCTCCCCTTGTTCTCATACCCCCCTAAACTATCGGTAACTCCTTGTTCCCATTTGGTTTGGGAGGGAGGACCCTCGGTAGACCCACAGATTGAGTCCTCAAATCAGGAAATCATGCCTCCTGACTTACTAAGCGTGGTCACGTTCCCACACTGCCCCGGGGCCACAGGCTGAGATAGATGGGGCCCTCGCCACGGCCAGCTGGCACTGAGCAGCGGACAGGGCACCTGAAAGTCGGAGCTTCCTTAGGATGCCCTGTGCGAGGCAAAGGTGCCCTTCCTTTCAAGCTTTCCTCTTTGACTGCACTTCCTAATCGATACAATGATTTAGGCAGTGATGCTTTCCTAAAAAAGCCTCTGAGGGTCCCTGGCCCCCGTGTCAGGAGAGGAGGCCTGCCCCAGGAGGAGGACTTCTGGGGACCCCTGCTTTCCCTCCCCTCACCTTCCGTCTGGCCACCCCCCCAGGAGAGCTGCCTCATCCCTGCCCACACTGCCCCATACAGCTGAAGAGCAGAAGCACTGGCCAGTTCTCTGCCCCTTGTGTCAGGTGGATAAGCTTGTTTCACAGCCGTGCTTAGGGAACAGAGAGGAACTTGCCCAAGGCCAAACAGCCAGCGAGTTATGGAACGAGGGCACGGTGATCTCTATCATTTTTTTTTTTTCCTGAAATGCACTAGGTATCACCCTCCCTTGAAATGGAGACCCCAGGCAGCTTCTCCTATAGGATAACTCTGTAAATAAACTCTGTACAGAAATCTGTCTCCAATTTCTATTATTGTACAACAGTATATGGGGTGGAGGGAGAGGGGGTTGTTGTACTGTGTGGGTCTAGAACAAAAGTAATCAATATTCTTAGTAGCATGGGGCAGCTAGGAGGTGTAGTGAATAGAGCACCAGCCCTGGAGTCAGAAGGACCTGAATTCAAATCTGGCCTCAGACACTTACCCAGGTGACCCTAGGCAAGTCACTTAACCCCATTTGCCTAAAAAAAATTATAGTTTTTCAATATTCATTTTTAATAAAACTTTGAGTTTCCAGTTTTTCTCCTTGCCTCCCTCCCCAAGATGGCAAGCAATCTGGTATAGATTATACATGTGCAATCATGTTAAACATATCTCCACATTAGTCATATTAGGAAAGAAGAAACAACAACAGGGGGAAAAAAAGAGAAGATAATATACTTCCATCTGCATTCAGACTCCATAGTTCTTTCTCTGGATGTGGGTAGCATTTTCCATCATGAGTCTTTTGAAATTGTCCTAGATCATTGTATTGCTGAGAAGAGCTAAATCAGTCATAGTTGATTATCGAACAATGTTGCCGTTACTGTGTACAATGTTCTCCTGGATCAGCTCACTTCACTCTGCATCAGTTTATATAAGTCTTTCCAGGTTTCTTCTGAAATCCGCCTGCTCATCATTTCTTACAGCACAACAGTATTTCATTACATTTATATACCACAACTTGTTCAGCCATTCCCCAATTGATGGGCATCTCCTCAATTTCCAATTCTTTGCCACCACAGAAAGAGCTGCTATAAATAAGCAAGTGGGTCCTTTTCCCTTTTTTGTGATCTCTTTGGGATACAGACCTAGTAATGGTGTTGCTAGATCAAAGGGTATGCACAGTTTGATTGCCTTTTGGGCATAGTTCCAAATTGCTCTCTAGTTCACAACTCCCCCAACAATGCATTAGTGTCTCAACTTTCCCACATCTCCAACATTTATCATTTTCCTTTTCTGTCATATTAGTTGATCCGATAGGTATGAGGTGGTACCTCAGAGTTTTTAAAATTTGAATTCCTTTAATCAATAATGATTTAGAGCATTAAAACATATATGTTCTTAGTAGCCTTCTCCAGTTCACAAATCACAATTCATATCCTCTGTTTCATCTGTACTAGTGTTGGGAGTGAAGGGCAGGGTATCATCATCCCCAGCTTACCTATTTTAAGGTGACATCCCTTATCTCATTTGCCACTCTTAATAGCCCTATGAGGTAGGTGGCTGTTACTACCCCCATTTTATGGATGATAAAACTGAGGTTCAGAGAGGTTAATTTGCTGCCCCAGCATTGCGCAGCTAATAGGTGTGTCAAAGGCAAGTCTTCTAGACTCCCAAGTTCAGCACTCTTATCTACTATACCATCCTAAGACAGATAGATGAAGGATCTGGTAGAGAGAAGGGGAAATGACTGATTTAGAATCACACAGTGAATAAGATAAACTTTAAGTAGACTTGAATCTGTTTCAGGATTCCAAGCCCACGGTTCTTTCCACTTCAAGGTCTGTCCAACAACAGTACAAAAATAGGCCTCTTGTAACCCATTTTAATATGTTCTATTGATGCCTTTTGTCACCTCCTACCCACTCCTCTCCCACTTGTGATGCCCCCTAAAAATGAAGCAAAAATGACATAGGAAGACCTTGTTTAGCAATATTCCCAACAATTAGTCATGCAGCCTTTGCTTGAAAACCTCCAGTGAGGAAGAACCTATTACCTCTTGAGGTGAACCATTCCACTTTTGGATGTCTCTTATTAGAAAGTTTTTTCTGAGATCAAACCGACGTCCCTACAATATCTATCCATTGCCCTATGAAGCCAAGCAGAACCAGCTCAATCCCATTTCCACAAGTTATTGTTACAATAGTCGAAGACAGCTACCAATCAATCAATCAATGTTTATTAAGTGCTAACTATGTACCAGTAACTGTGTTAAGTGCTGGGGATACAAAAAGAGGCAAAAGATAGTCTCAGGTCTCAAGGAGCTTACACTCTATCGTGGTTCCTCTAGGTCTTCCAGCCAGTTCCAATATGGCAGGGTCTTTCGCTATCTTGGTTACTCTCCTCTGGCTGCTCCACAACTTACCGGAAGTCTTCCTAAAATCCAGTGCCCAGAACTGAGCCCACTATGCCAGCTGTGGATTTTTGCTCATGTTTGTATCCTTCAGAGCCACAAAACAAGACCTCAAATATACCAGGAGCTCTGTCAATGTTTGTTTAAAGAATGAATGAATGAACAAATGCATCTTTGTTGAACTCTTTGAACCCTAATGTATCTTGAATTAACACTAATTATAGGGACTTTGGCAATAATTTTTAAGAAATCCAATCCTTTTTTTTTTGTTTGTTTGTTTGGTTTTTTTGCTTTTTGGTGAGGCAGTCAGGGTTAAGTGACTTGCCCAGGGTCACACGGCTAGTAAGTGTCAAATGTCTGAGGTTGGATTTGAACTCAGGTCCTCCTGACTCCAAGGCTGGAGCTGTCTATCCACTGCACCACCTAGCTGCCCCTAATCCAATCCTTTTTTTAAGAAAACTATTTTTATCCACTTTTAAGAAAAACAACTATAAAGTTGTGAGGCAACAGGCTATAGCTAGCCTGCCCCTTCCTTTCTCTTCCTACTGTAGGTTAAATTTTCCTCTTCATCTTCTTCCCCATCTTCAGGATAAGGCATACTCTCTCTGGATTTGGTAGCGGTTCAAGGAGGTTTTCTTTAGTGCTAGAGCTGACCCAGATCAAGAGGGAGAGTGAAGAATCTTACCAAAACTGTTCTACCCCCAAGTCTTCGTTCAAGGAGGCCTCATTGTGGCATGGAGCTGACCCTTGGTTCTGAAAAGCTATGTCAGCAGAGGGGAGCAAACTGATCAATCCTACTGAAGTGGAAAGCCTCTAAGTGTGAACCTGGTGAAGGATTCTGGATCCAGCAACTGAGGTCTGGCCTGACTAAGCTAGAGTCTCACCATTAGGTTGGGTGCTGGGAAGGAATTTTTCAACCCCAGCAACTTTTGGAAATCATCCCCTAAGGCAAAAATTCTTAACCTGTCTTGGGTCTGTAGACATTTTTTTAAATCTACATGACTCTATTTCATTATCATTGGTTTCCTTTGTAATCCCATGCATTTTTATTTTGTGTATTTAATATCTTCAGTCTGAACAGGGATCCATAGGCTTCACTAGATTTCCCAAGAGAGCCATGACACACAAAAAAGGTTAAGAAGCCCACCCCTTTCCCATAATGCAATGCATTGGGGTAGGGAGAAGGAAGGGGAGAGTGTGAGATCTGACCAAGGGGAAGGAATATCCCTAGTAATGAGATCAAGACCATTAAAGTATTATTATACTAGATATGTGCAGAGCTTTAGACAAAGCTAGAGGATAAAAAAGAAATGAGAAATCTTTAGCTGATGAGAGAACCTCTGTTACAGGCCAGCCCTGATTCAGACTGGTCTGGGACTTCAGGTTTATAACTGGGAGATACTAGTAGACCTCTCTAACAGAGTACAAAAAGTGGTTTACCTAGCCATAGCACAGAAAGGATACTCAGCAAGGACACAGCATTGATTCAGTTGAGGGATGCAGCTTCCCTCTCTCTGGGTTGGTCATGCTGGTGTTTCTGGTCAAACCCATGGGAAAGTACTCCTACCTCCTTGTGAGCTGGCTTTTGTACTTAGACTATCAG